GTGTTGGTTCTACCGGAACCATTGAGCAGATTTAGAAAATGGTTACTGTGAATTCAGGCTGTATTGTTAGATGACTGGTGGCTATATTGCAAAGTTAATAAAAGAGTAAAGCTGTGAAGTTAATCAGGTGTGATTTATTTATTTGTTGTACAACAATTTCATGATAAATATTTTTCTCCACTCTGACCTTAAATTGAGCAGTTATGAATAATTGAATAGGATAGAGTTTCAAACAGGTATGGCACCTGGAGTCGTCTGGCACCCTCCCAGTACAATTAGTCAAACTGTTTAAGAATGTTTTGACAACTTACCTGAGGTTTACCAGTCACCTTCTCCCATGTAGCCTGGAAACGCCTTGCTTTGAGCTAGCCCAACAGGGTAAAAAGATTATCAACAAGCTGTAGTGGTTATGGTGTTTGGAGTGACCCATTAATAAATTTGTAAGTCCTTGTGTTGCAGTATTAATGAGAATCAGGTGGTTGTGTAGGCTATGCCCCAAGGGGTTGGCATGCCATGTGGCCTGTAAAAAGAGATTGCGGGAATAATAATAAATTGGATATACAACTCAAAGTTCAGTAAGTAACCCATTGGATATATCAAGGACATATGATAAATAGATTGTGTGGTTCACTGGTAAGCAAGCCCAAATCTCAATTGCATGTGTAAAGATCAGATGTGTTGCTTTCATTTATATCACAGGTTGGACAGGGGATTCATGTTAACATCCAGGTATTTATTTCAAACATAGGCTTCACTTTTAATATTTTTGCATAAGCTTTTGAAAGGATTTAATATTTTTGGATACATTTTCAAATATTAAAATATCAAACAAATCATAGAAAATACATCTATTTATTTATGTATATATATATATATAAAAATATTTTTCTGAATATTAAATCATTGATGAGCTTATTCAAAAATAAGCAAATAGTCTGTCCACTGAAAGAGGTTAGCCATTTTTTGATCATATATCTGGGATAGTGATGTCCCGAACGGTTCGCTGAACGGTTTGCCGCGGACGGCAAACATAAACGTTGACCCTCTACCTCACAGTCAGCAGACACATTCCAGCCAATCAGCAGCAGACCCTCCCACCTCCTGGACAGCTCACTAAGAATGCAGCTTCACAATGAATGTAAAATGGATGCTGTCCAGGAGGTGGGAGGATCTGGGAGGGGGGGTCTGCTGCTGATTGGCTGGAATGTGTCTGCTGACTGTGAGGTACAGGGTCAAGGTTTATGTTTATGTTCGCCGTCCGCGGCGAACCGTTCGGGACATCACTAGTCTGGGAGTTATCTGGCCAATGTGAGCCCAGTTTGTGTCTACTTTGGATGTAATCTCTTTTCAATGGATATACGACTAAGGCGAACAGTCTTGTAAAAATGAGAAGAGAGGGAGTATTTCAGATTCCTAAGAAATTAAAACTGCTGTCTTAACTACAGCAAGCAATATGGTCCAGAATAGAGAGCAAAATAAGCATTATGTCAAAGGAGGGAGAAGGACACATTCAAGAAAAGAAAAGCATTTTGCTTTGGGATCTAAATTTAGCACGACAGTAAAAATATCTCCTTTTCCAAACCAGAATAATTTTATTAAAATTATAGCTTATCTGTTTTCCATATGAATGTGTGTGTGTAGGCAGATGGTAATCCTGCCATGCTTTTAAACCAAACAGACCTTATTGCACCAACACATTAAATTAATTTATATTTAAACAGATATCAAATTCATATCTAATCGAAATAAAACGTGGGCACCTGAGGTCTGGCTCTTCTTTGTCCATATTCCTAATTGGGAAGTCCCACTTCCACAATAGGAGTATCTATTTTGTGCAGATGTTTTGAAGGAATCCATTTGCGTGCTCAAAAATTAGATAAATATTGGCTTGCTGCAAGTAAACATCAACATATCAACATTTGAGTTTCTTTTTCAATGTAAAAACTATGAATTACATATCAGTCAATATATATGAATATGTAATGCTTTAGGGCAGGGGTGGGCAATCTTCGGCCCTCCAGATGTTTTGGACTACATCTCCCATAATGCTCTTAGGGCCATAATGCTAGCAAAGCATCAAGGGAGCTGTTGTCCATAACATCTGGAGGGCTGAAGATTGCCCACCCCTGCTTTAGGGGGGAGATTTGTCAATAGTAACGCATCCATTGTAATGGCTATGCAAGAACTGCACCTGAGCATGCCATGCTTGGCTGCATATTTCGCAGATGTCCCTCGACGCTGGCTATGGCTCCACTGATGTGGGGGGAGGGGGTAATGCGAATGTGCAGCAAGTAACATGATTGCATTAGGACTACCCCATATCAATGCTTTCCTATGGGCTTTTAGCGGACGCTGGATGTCCTCATGTCGAGCTATTTTGGTCTAAAATTTTAAAGTCAATTTGAATTCCCAACTAATAACATTTTTGTAAATCATGAGTGCTAAACTATTTTACTGTGGTGTTTCTTTTATAGACAGTAACCATATTTCTATTAGTAGCCATTAATCCTATTGGCTCTAATATGTGCACTTACTAGCATTTGTTCTCGAAATTATAACGTCTATAATGCCAAAGTTAGGCTAACATATCTGATCTGGATAAATCTCCCAGCTCTGCTATAGTCACAGCTTGGATATTTTATCTTAAATTCACAGTTCAAATTTCAGTTTAGCAAAATTCATGGTTAATGAATAAACCCCTGCTTGAATTTTAGGTTTTATTCTATAAATATTCAACAACAAAAAAACAAAGCATGTGTGCTCCAAATGATCATAAACTAAACAAAGCAAATGATATAAAAATAAACTTTAGATAAGAGACAGGATTAGTAAGGTGACTGCAACCTGTAATGTATACCGCCTCAGCAGTGACTCAATCAAAAACTTTGTAAAAAGCAAAAATTTATCAATTTTGGGAAACAAATAATAATACCGACAAATTATATTAAATAATCATCCCAAAGAAGTTGCTACAGTTTCCAAACTAATGAAGCAGCTTGTAGCAGCTCAATGTACTGCGGCCTTTGCAGAGTATCGGAACCCATTTAGTTTATGATCATTTAGAACTCACATACTTAGTTTAGTTTTTGTTGATTTGTATGTTACCTTGCCCCTCTTTTAATGTATCATGCTGCCCACAACGGATTATATTAACTTGAGTCAAAAAAAAAATAATTATATATATATAGATATATTATTATTATGTTATTTATATAGCGCCAATAAATTCCGCAGCGCTTTACAATGGGTTGACCAACAGACATGTAGTTGTAACTAGACAGGTTGGACACAGGGCCGTCTATAATATGATTAGGACCCTGGGCAATGCATTTTCTTGGGCCCCATGCCTCACCCCCCAATTACGTCCAACCCGCAATCACACTGACAGACGTACTGGCACATACACACACAGACAGACATTAAAACATTCACAGATCCATACTGACACACAAAGTCACTACACACAAATATATACTGGCAGACATACTGACACACACACAGACATACATACATACACAGACACATACATTAACAGATATACTGACACACACAAACACATACACTGACAGATATACTAAAACACAGAGACACATACACTGACACACATTGACACACACACACACACACAGGCATACTGACATACACACACACACACACACATACACACAGGCATACTGACATATACACAGACAGACGTAATGGCTGATACAGACAGACATTAAACATTCACAGATATATACTGACACACACATACACTGACATACAAATATATCCTGGCAGACAAACTGACACACACACACACACACACACACACACAGACATACATACATACACACACAGACACATACACTGACAGACATACTGACTGACACACACATACACACACAGACATACTTACATACACACACAGACATACTGACACACAAAGACATGCTGACACACAAAGACATGCTGACACACACACACAGACATACTGACATACACACAGACAGACGTACTGGCACATACACACAGACAGACATTAAAACATTCACAGATACATACTGACACACACATACACTGACACACAAATATATCCTGGCAGACATACTGGCACACACGTACACACACACACACACACAGAGACATACCTACATACACACACACAGACATACTGGCATACGCACAGACATACTGACACACACACACACTGACATACACACAGACATACTGGCATACACACAGACATACTGTCACACCCACACACACACACAGACATACTGGCATACACACAGACATACTGTCACACCCACACACACACACAGACATACT